GTTATTTTCTGTGAACTGCTGATCAACCTGCCTTCAGAATTTTAGAAGTACAAATTGTATCAGAATCTATCCATAAAGATCTGAGCGTTTCATTTCAAGGATAGAAGAGTGTTGTTCACGTAAGCAAACAGTTGTCATCCATTCATCAAGCTACCTTCTGAGGCTGAACACACGTTCACTTTTCTGAAAGGTCAAAAGCGCTGATTGGGTGCATTGAGACACATGTTCTGGGTAACCGTTCCAATATCTTTCTAAATCCCCTAAAATCAGCTGTCATTAATGCTTATAATCATTACTAATTATTTCTCTCTCTTGCAGTTTATGTTTTCAAAAAACTATTTAAACACAAATCTCACACTTTACACTCTTTCACGTTTACTCTCTCAATACACTCTAATTGCTTTCTATTCATCTGTCAAAACCTTTTTATTTTTTTGTGTGAACATGGCTTCCTCAAGCATCCCAAATACCAGTACTCAAAGAACAGAATCCATGGAACAATATGAAGAACCATTAAGAACTTTCCTTACGCCCATTGACAACCTAGAAGTGCTTTCATAACTAATCGTGGATTTTGAAAGTCTTCAAGAAAATAGATTCAATCTTTCTGAAGAAGTAAAATCTCAAGGATGGAACGTGTATTTTGACCGTCTTCTAGGTCCAACGTTTCCAATCCTTGTGAAGGAATTCTGGATTCATACTTCATCCTCCAACCATCAAGTCACTTCGTATGTAATAGGGAAGAAGATAGTAATTACTGAAGACCTAATTGCAAGACTGATAGGTTATAGTGGTGGTGGCGTAAGGTGTATAGACATGACTGAAAGATGTGTCGATGTTGCTTCAATTGCAAGAGAAATTTTCACTCTGGGTCTTTCCTCCAGCAAGATAAGGGATCTGAAGGATCATCACAGAATATGGGCTAAGATAATTCTGGGATGCATCAACCACAGGAAGCCAACCAGCTCTCCTGACTACATAAACATTGATCAGCAGTTTCTGATCTACTTTATCTCCCAGAAGACTAAGGTAAATTTGGCTCACTTGCTGTTCAATCATCTGAGGACCAGTGTTAAGGAGACTAGAGAAGATGAGCGTACCAAAAGGGACTGGATACCCCTTGGAAGGCTCATATCAGATATTCTAACGGAGAGTAGGCTGATAGAGCATCTAACAGAAGCACAAGAAATCAACTCTCTAGAGGCAACTGCTGGGAAGCCTTTGAATGCAAAGAATCTGAAAAAGATGAAGATTATTGAGAACATCAAGAAGGAACCCAGTGTTACTTCTTTTGCAACCATCACCTCTAGAAGAATTCCTCTGGATGATTTTCCTATGTTCTCAGAAATTGATTCCAAGCCTGAGATAATCGTCAGATATTTGGATACGTGCAAGGCAGATGGCACTGCACCAGATTTAAATATTCAGAACTTGCAACAGGCGGCTCCAGAAGTTGTGCTGAAGAAGAACAAGAAAAGGAAGGCAGCAGCAGAAAGATCATCCCAGCGGACTCCAAAAGCTGCTAAAAAGAAAGGTAATCCTTCTTTTGTAACTGTTTTAGAATCAATTACTATATCAACATCTGAACCAATACCTACCCAATCAGAAAATCCTACCCCACAAACGTTTGATGATTTTGACATAGGGTTTGACCCCTCAGAAACTCTAAGTCTTAGAGAAACTCACTCCCTTCTTGTCAATCCAAATACTGAATCAACTCAACCAGAACTTGCAAAAGTTCTGCCAGATATTGAATCTTTTGACCAAAATATTTCTACTCCCACACCAGAAAATCCAAACTCCGAACCCACTTCAGAAGCTCTACAACAAGATATTCCCCTCTCTCCACAACCAGAAATACCACTACCTCCATCTCCTCAACCAGACATTCATCCACTATCTCCACAACCTGAACAATCACAACCAAAAGTTCAAACTTCTGAGAACCAACCTTCTGAATCCTGTGAAACAGAACCTCACCATCTTACATCCAATCAATCTGAAGAACCTACTTCAGATTCAGATACAATTACCATTCCAGGAATCACTGAACCTCTGGCCATCCGTATGCCCCTCACCGTCCTGGACATTCCTCAAATTCCCTCTTCACTAGAATCAACACCACCAAATTCCCCAACCAGTCCAATAATTATACCAGACTCTCCCACTCCCTCACCAAAAAGAAATCCAGATGACAACACTAAACTTGTCATTGACCTAACTGTTTTTGAACGCCTAGCTGCCATAACTTATAAAACTGCCATTCCAAAACCAAAACCATCTGAACCCACACCAGATGTTGGTACTAGTTTATTGATGTTTGAAACAGAAATGCAGAAATGGATAACCTCCCTGAAGCAAGCTAGTCTTGAGATGACCAATCCTGCTGCCTCAGATTATCTTTGGACAAGTTTCAGAAAATGGATAAGGTCTAAAACTCATAAGATGCAAGAACAGTGCTACAGACAAGTTCAACAGAATTTCAGTAATCTGCTAAAGGTATTTGAAGACCAAGTTCTGAGTCAACTGCTCAAGGAAGAGATTCTCCCTCTGGACAATGCTCCCTGGTCAGAACATCGTCCATCAGACAATGTTCAACTAGAGTCAGAAGGTCTCACTCTGACTGCTGCTCCAGATGAGATGATTTCTGCAGAGGAATTGGTTCAAAATGACCATGGTGCAGAATGCTCTGAGAATCATCCAGTTACTGAAGATTCTCCAGCTCCCTCCTTTGAAAGGCAAACTCTGGAAGAACTGGAGAGAACATATATTGTCGTTCAAGAAAGATTGGATAAACATGATGATACAATCAAGAAAATCAAGAGCATGTTAAGCAAACAAGAGGAAACCAACACCCAGATCAAGGGCTTGTTGGAAGCTCTGTTCACACGCCTTCCTCCTCCCTCTTAGATTTTCCTTTGTTTTTTAAAATCTGTTTATCTGTAATATTTGTTCTACATTGCTGCTGTTCTGAACTTCTCATCATCGCTTCTTTTTTTTTAATATAAATCCTTTTTAGCTCTGATTATATGTTCTTTTTGATAAATGACAAAAAGGGGGAGAAAGAATAAGATATTTTCAATAACGGATTACTAAGACAGAAGCCTTAAACATTCAGGACTATTTAACTTCTTTCTTCTGAAAAGCTTGAACAGGTACAAAACTCTTATGAAAGATGTAGTCAAATTCTGATGCTCAAGAACTCAAAGAATTTAAGGGAAGTAATCAACTCAGGGGGAGTTTTTCTTCCTAATTCTATACTTTTTATTTTTAATTGAAAAATCTGGTTTTTGTCATCATCAAAAAGGGGGAGATTGTTAGAACATAATTTGATTCTACAACCCTTGGTTAGAGTTTTGATGATAACAAATACAAAGAATAAATAAATAAATACAAAGAAATATATACAAAGAACAGATATGCTCCTTAAAATTATGTTTTGTATATGCAGAAGTTCTGATGGGATCAACATCAGAAGATAAGCAATAAAAGATTTCACGCTGAAGCTATCAGATCATATGCTAAAGATTGGTGACCAGAACCTGTGCTTAATGACAACAAACTCTGATTCTGAACTAAGACATATCAACCAAGTCATCAATATTCTGAAGCGTCATCAGCAGTTAAGGATAGAAGACTCTTAAGCGTTACTGATTATTCAAGACAGAATTAATGCCAACGGCTTTCTTCAGACAAGATCTTCTACAAAAGGAAAGTGTGTTATTAACATTAAACTTGCTTTATGGACAACGTCTTTGCCTTTCCTATATAAACAAGTCTACTTATGAAAGAAGCACGTACGTACGCACACATCAATTTGCAAAGAATTCCAAACCACGCATATTCAAGCTCTAGCAAATTCATTCTATTCTAAGCTTACTTGTGTAATTATCACAGTTGTGATATACTGTTTTGTTAGAAAACAACAACACTTTCTTGTTCAATTATTTGTAAAATATTTCCTTGAGATTAACCGGTTTATGGTTGTACTCAAGAAGACTTTAACAGTTGTTAAAGTAGCTGTTGTAATCCTTTGAGATTAGTGGATTAAGACCTCGTTGGAGAGAGGCGAAATCACCTTGACGAGTGGACTTGAGTAGTTTGAGATCAAACGAACCAGGATAAAAATACTGTGTCATTAAGCTATTTTTTATCTAAGTTTTCAATTCAACCCCCCTTCTTGTGTTTTTCACATCTTCAACGCCTTTAAAAACTTGCACAATCTCATAAGAAATATTAGCAAATAACAAGTAATATCAAATGCAACTCAAAAATTGACACCACGAGCTAAAATTTCATATTATCATGCGTATAATGAAACACAACAAGTAACGGAAGCGTAAAAGTGAATATCAGGCAGGAACATGTGTGCGTGATAGAATAAGTCGTGAAATGCACCAAAAACGAGTCAACATGTCCATAATATCCAACAATCAACCAATGAAGTACTAACATACATCGCATAAGACTCACAACTCAAAGCACATGCTACACGGAGCCAAATAGCCTTATATGCAAAAGTAACGCGCAAAAAACATTGAAACGAAATCGGCTAAAAATTACACGGTTGCTCCCAAACATACCAACGAACTCAAAAAACTATACGCCTCAAATTAAAACCGAGCACAAGTGCTACTTTCATGCACGGGGCAGTAACTCAAATTTTTGTGCGATTCAATCGAAATTTGATTCAAACATGGAGAAAAAACATGGAAAGGTGTTTACACGTTCAAGTATCATCATCTAAAACTAATGCACAAGTGAATTACAAATGGAAACATGATGGAGGTCTTGAATCCGTGCAAAAACATCTATTATATATTAGTGCAATTTTCTTCCAATTTGAGGTTTTATATGTTAAAAGATGCTAATCACCCAACAATTGGTCCTAAATTGCACTAACTCATAATTTGTGTTAAATTCTCATCACGATCAACATGCATTATGCCAAAGAAAATTAACACGTAAACTCCACCACAACAAGTTCCTATTCAACTCTCATGCTACAACTTCAATTCAATTCTTTGTTCAAGAAACAACCTCTATACAACATTCTCAACCATACTTTAACCAATTCCACACTTATGAAACATTATAGAATCAAGTGCAACCTCTACAATTTAATCTCAAGTGAAAATCACCTCTTAAGCAATTTGTCAAACACCTACATTACACCAATTTTGACTCATGAATTATGCAAAAAACAACCAAATAATAACTCAAGCATTTCAACAAACACCATGGCTTCAAGAATTTGCAACTCATGTTCTCAAATAAAATTCAATCACAACTTCAATTATATTTCAATTAGATGTTCAATTCAATTCACAATTTCAACATTAACTCAATTCACAACTTCACCTTAATTCAAGAATTTAAGTAAGAGCAATGAGGACTTTATCAAATTGTAGAAGAGGAGGTTGAAGAAGATGCAAAACTGCGAAGCAAATTAGGGAGGAGGAAACGAGTCAAGTCACGGTGATGGAGGGAGGTCACAGTTGGCTTCACGATGGCGGCGCGCTTAGCGCAAAGCGGTGCGCAACAAAGGGATGGTGACAGAGGCTCAGAGATCACGGCGGCGATGCATGGCGAAAAGAGATGGTTGGAGGCTGGAAAGAGGATCCGCAGAGAAAGGGAGAAGAAAATATGAGTATTGTGTATCTTTGTTCATGATTATTTGATGAAGATATGATGAAGTTGTTGTTGTTCTTGAGAAAATGTGAGAGAAAAAGTGTGTTTGATTTGAAAGAAAAGAGAGAGATTAATTTGAGAGGTTTTTGAGATTGTGAAATTATGAGAGTAAAATTTGAATTTTGGAATATATAGTGTGGGAAAATTGGGCCTTGGATGTGAAATTGGATTGGGCTACATTTTGACAGTGTTAGCAAATTTAACGCACAATGTGAGTATAAAATGCCATGTCATCATCGATGTGAAATATCGACTTGATCTCGATATCAAAAATGAAGATTGAAAAATTTGTGACACGATGCTGAAAGAACAGACTCAATCGAATAAACGACGAGAAAGTTATGAATTTTCGAAGTTGCTCAGACGCTATCTTTTCCGATTCAGCAGCGAATTTCACTGTTATTAGCGAAACAGACCATAAACGGAAGCCTTCAGAGTACCGTTTGAACTCGAAGTCTGAAGCAAAGTTGTAACTAACATAATTTGTAAAATTATGCCTAGAGAACCGTTTCGATACGATAAAAATCGAAGAAGTTATGATTTTTACAATATCAGAAAATAGTAAATTAAAACTCCGGTTCATCACAACAAAATCTCTGGTAATTTACACTTTCGGGGATCTTCTACAAAGAATCAGTTCTTGGACCGAACATATGAAATGAAAATGATATCAAGACATATTTTCCGTCCAAAGAACCACTTAAAAACAATGCGCTGGGCGAAAGATATGAATTTCTGAACGTCCAAAAAATAACGGTTCAACACAGTATTTTCACCATATTTTTATTTCTCCTTAAAGTATCCGCATGATCATAGATCTTCCTCAAAGAATTTTCTCTTGAGCCAAACATATAAATTGAAGGAGATATTAAGACGATTTTAATGTCTCAAGAGCCGCTCTGATACAATATTCTAATCAGGAGTTATGAATTTTTGATTGCTTGGGAGACGACGGACCAACAATTAAATTCAGTACACTATTTTCAAAGAATTAAAATTTCCAGAGGTCTTCTTCACAAAATTAGCCTTTGATCCAAACACGAGAAATGATAAGAAAATCAAGACGGTCTCAATGCTCGAAGAATCAAATGAAGATAATGAATTGGATGAAAGTTACTAATTTCAAAATGCGCGAGAACAGATAACCAATCATTAAGTTCAAGTACCATTTCAAGGAAATCAAATTATTCTGAGACTTTCTGCATATAATTGGCTTCCGTTTTGAACAGATGAAATTAAGAAATTATCGAGATGGTTCTAATTCTTGAAGAATCAACTCGAAATAATATCTTGATTACAAGTTGTAAATTTCTAAGCTCAAACTAGCAGAAACACTGTTTCTGGTTCACACTATCTCGAATTCATCGAAATGTCCAATTTCTCCGCAGTTCAGAGTGCGTTGAAATATCTGAGAACTTGACATGATGATGGCTTGATTGGTCATTAGTATGATTTCTTGTGAAACATACAGAACCCATTTAAGCCTTGAAAAACCAGAGTTTTGCCTTGCTGCTTCTGCCCAATAGAATAATCTCTTTTTGTGTAGCTTTTGAAAAGAAATGCCTTGAGCCCATGACCATCAATGATGCATGTAATGCTAAATGGCCTACTGATGGATATGCATAAGTCAGATGAGCCTTATAAAAAGGTAGGACATATTTGGAGTATGACACCAGTGTTGCATGAGAGAAGTAAGCACATTGACACGAAGTTCCATTTTCTGAGGAATCAAATCCAGAATGAAGTGTTAGAAGTTGTACATTGTAGCAACCAAAAACAACTTGTAGATGTTATGACTAAAGCCATCAAGACTGAACACTTCATTAATTTGAGGGATGAAATTGATGTTGTTGATTTTAATTCTGAATGTGAATTAAGGGATGATGTTCAAGTGTAATTGCACATTCAGAGTGTTTGCTTTGAGTTGGATTTGGGCTTGTTGTTTGGACTATTACTAGTTAATCTAATAAGGGTTTAGTATATATAGTTTTTCTACTTTGTAATATAAATGAGATAATTCAATGTAATTATTTTTCAATTGAATAAAAGTTAGTTACAACTTCTCACTTTTTTTCTCTCTTTTATCTTCTTCCATCTTTATCTTATTCATTGTTCTCCAATAATCTTAAGTTTGAGACAAAATCATAACAATGGTAATCTCAGGTTACCCAAACTCAAGGTATAACACTTCAACATTTAACAAAGACCAAATAATCAACATATATAGTAATTACTTCATGAATTAACATAACATGGACCTCACATGATAAAGGGAATTGCTAGAAACACCACATCGGATAATATATGATTTAAATATATTTTTATAAATGAGAACAATCCTCACTCTATAAATTTGTTTTTGTATGATTGAATTAAACTCAACTACATTTTTATAATATTTTTTAATAGAAACACTATAAACATACTAACAAAGAAAGAGGGTTCTCTTACTCCGCCTTGCTAGTAACAACTCTGAATATTCTCGCACAATACCTTTGTTTTGATAAGTATATATTAGTATTTATTGTCGGGTTAAGTAATGACTCGTAGTGTATTAATTATTATCTTCGTTTATCTTTTTCGTTCTAAGTTCTTCCTAATTTTTTCTATGACCTTCAATTGTTTAAAAATCAAATTCAGCATGTGATAAAAATTAAATGGCTGGTGGAATGTTTTATGAAATGGAATAAGTAGATATAATAATTAAGGGAATGAGAGATGTGGCAATAGTCCGGCTCATGTCATAGCTTTTGACCATGTCAATCTTGAACTAAACTCCAAAAAGGATGGAGTATGATTGGCTACTATATGGTAGTGTAGAAAATTTGGTAGATGAAGCACGCAGTGTGCGTCTATAATGGAGACAGTGAAGACAGTGTGTGTGGCCAAGCATGTGTGTTGAAGAATGGCCGGAGTCCTTAACAGAACAGGCTGGACATACAAATTGGAGCCATATGGCGTGGCCTATAAGATTAGTAGGCCATATATTGCTGGCCACTTTTACTTTACAGTTTACATTGTTGCAAATTTTGGTAGCACGTGGTTTGCGGATGCTGGAGCAAAACTTTATCAACATCAAATGCCTATCATTTCCTACTCATGAATCATGAGTTAGACTTAGAAGTACATATAATTGCTCCATTTACTATGTTCTATTTCATTTTTTTTTAAATTAGAGTTTGAATATATATTATATTATAAAATCTGTATGTGTAGAATAAGCTAATTTACAACTATAAATTACTTATACCTTATTGGTTTTTTTGTTCAACTAATGTACTTTCTTTCTTCCTATTTTAAATAAAGACAAAAAATAATTTAAATCAACCGATGCATGAAAAGGAAACAAAATTTTGAAACCATTACTCATATCACCCTTTAAGGATGATTCAAACCACCATGTGTAGAATGCATAAACTCATATTCAAACAGGGTGTTGCTTAACTTTTTACTCATTAACCACTCACTGCTTTATTCAAATATGAAATTACTTTTCTATAAAATTGATAGAGTCCAAACAATGCTTAAACTTTGATCTAGCTAATGACTTAGTGAACACTTTCGTCAGATTTTCAGCGAATTCAACTTTCTCAACTAATGAAAACTTATCAAAGGCCTATGTGATTTGAAATATAAATTTGATTTTTGTGAAGCTTGTTAGAATGGAAAAATATTTAAAACTAATTTTATATAAAAAAAATTGTTTCATCCTCTAGACTCCTAAAACTTATTCACATTAACTTGTTTAGACTAGTTGGTACTACATCGGTCAATGGAAAGAAAAACAAATTAGTCATAATTGATGACTTTAGCATATATATATATATATATATATATATATATATATATATATATATATATATATATATATATATATATATATATATATATATATATATATATATATATATATATATATATATATATATATATATATATATATATATATATATATATATATATATATATATATATATATATATATATATATATATATATATATATATATATATATATATATATATATATATATATATATATATATATATTTGGGTACAATTTCTAAGAAGGAAGGATGAATCATATTATGTATTTGTTGTGTTTGAAAATTGATAGGATATGTATATATTTTATATTTATTTGTAATTATGATTTACCTGTAATTATGTCAAATTAGGTCAATTCTCATGTATTATATATATTTTTTATCAGTAATGAGAAAACACACAGAAAACCAATTATCTTACATGATATCACATTCTTAAAAGATCCTAACCTAATTCTCCTTAAAAGTTATTGTCATCGTCGCGCCTTCTTCCACTGCTTGTCGCCGCCACAAGGCCTCTATTTTGTGATCCTCCCCTGCTTACCTTCCTCCGACCGCATAGCTGTCGGATCACACGTAAATCATAATTACAAATAAATACTACATAAAATAAAAATGAACAAGAAATAAAGATTTTGGAAATTTTAAGAGATCATGGTAGAAAATTTGAAAATGAACCATTTGAAAGTTTTTATGAACATAGTGACATTCTCCATGAATTTTATTGCCTTAGAGTTCCATATAAAAATGGGGTTGTAGAGAAGAAAAATATATCTATTTTGGAGATAGCTAGGACCATGTTGAATGAATCAAAGTTTGCAAGACATTTTTGGGCATAAAAGATAAATA